TCTAGGGGATAAGAAAACCAGGGGCATCAAAGCCTGAGCTGATCAGGCTCACTGTAGATGATGAATTTTGTCCCCTAGAATGACTGCCATTCCTTCATGCCTTCTCTCCATGTGTTCAGATGAACTTGGCAGAAGCACATAATCTGGTCCTTCACCTGCAAGTTCAAGATTTCGAGGAAGACAAGTGTCTGACCCTGTGCCCAGTTCAAGTGACTTGGTTCTTGAAATACTCATGTATGGCAGGATGGTGTTGGAGATAAATTCCCCATGGACGTTCTTCCATCTCCACAGAATTCTCATGTATGGATCTTTTGCCAACTCCTCCCTTCCCCATTCTTCTTTGGTGCAATGACACTACTGACTACTTCATTAAACCCCCTTTCCAAGGCTTCTGCAACCCCATAATGACTATTCCCCAGGCTTATCTCTAGAACCCTAAAGAGCTTGCCTTGTAGCTGGAGAGAGTTTCATGCCCCTGTTCATTGGACTAGGTCTCGCAGTCTCACTGAGTAGGTACCACAGGAGCAGCTGGAACAGCCCAAACATGCCATCTGCCCAGAGACTTCCAAGACAAGTTTGACCAGGCAATGGCTCCACTATGGACAGTCTCAAGTCCCTTCAACCTTCCTAGAGATAAACTTCCTAGAGGGGGTTGCTCTGGACTTGATGACTGCCAAACAGAGAGGGACTTGCATTATGTTGGGAAAGGAATGCTGTTTCTATTAATGAATCTGTCTAGTGGAACAAGGCATACAAATGCTCAAAGATCTCTACTGGGAATCTGCAAGCATGCTATGTGACTAACACCCCAACCTCATGGTACTCAAATCCCCTTTTGGCTTGGCTTTTTCCCCCTCCTTGGCCCTATACTGGCCATCAGAGTCCTGCTCCTGGCACCCTGCCTCATCCAGTTTTTAAAACAGCAGATAAGTAGCATTACAAAAATCATTGCCAATTGTGTTCTAGCTCAGTACCAAACAGTTCCCAACATAGAGGCTGAGGGCTACTATGACACTCACCATTATAAATAAAACAGGAAGATGTTGGGAAACCTTGCTACTTGAGGTCGAAGTCTACCATTGTAGGACCATGAAGGGACAGCGTGGTTTCTGGTAGAGCACTGGCTAGAAATCGCTGGAGACTCCAGATGATCCTAAGAGACAGCATGCATTTTGCCACGCTCCCTGACTCTAGGCTCCTGACAGGAGGCCGAAGACCTCCATAGAATGGGGCCTTCCAGTCAAATAGGACAATGCCCCCTAGCCCCTCCACAGGTAGAGGGTGTGACTACAGGGCACAGAGCCTCAAGACAGATCTCCGTAGGCCAGATACCCAAAGGCCAGAGGGGCTAAGCCAATTAAGCATTCTTCCCAGACCTTGCAAAAGGTATTTAACCTCAGGCACACCCTCGGAAACTGGGGTATAGTTTTCATCTATTTTTTGCCATATCAATAAATATTTTAAGATCATAGTCTATTTCTTTTCTTTGGGACACGCTGTGGGGAACAATGGAGAAGGTTTTTAACTACCAAGCTGCTGCCTAATCTCCTGCAGACACCCTCTCTATGTTCTCAGCCACGGAGACCACCAGCCACTCAACCCAAGCAAGCAAGCCAAGCCAGCCAAGAGATTCAGCCAAGCGAGTCACTGCAACCAGAACTCTCAATCCCATGGGACACAACCAGAGTTTCTTCCTCACCCAATTTGGCTGAGGGCAAATTTAGCCCATATGCCCCCACTTCAGTCTCAGCCCTTCTGAGGCTCTCCAGCAGCACCTGAGAGCTTAAGGGCCTGAGAATCAACCAGTTTCTGGCCGCCTTTTGGCTCAAGGACCCCCAAGCCAAGAGCCCTGGCTCTCCATGGGACTTCAGACTATGCTCTCCCACCCTGAGCAAAGTCCTGCAGCTTCCCACAGCCCGATGCCCGCTTGGCACCAGAGTGGAGTGAGAGGCTCTGTCCCCACAAGAGACCCTAGCCACGTGGTGAGAGAGGTGGAATCCATACATCAACCCAACAGGACTCATGCACACACTACAACCCAACATACCATGTCCAGATAGCTCACTCATCTGTGCTCGGTACAAAATGGAGGGCTCCCTTTTTCCAGCATGGGTTCCCCTTCTCTGACCTTGTCTGGGAAGCTTGACCTCCACATCCTCTACCTGGAGAAGGTTACAAACCTACAAGTTCAACTTGACCAACCTACAAGTTCAACTTCTTTCCAAATAAGAATCCACCCAACAAGTACCCGGGATTAAATTCTGGCCAATGATTTTACATTCAACCTGAAAACTCCTTCCCACTCTCCAAGATTCATATAGCTATTGTTCACCCCCAAATAAAGTGTATGCACAGCAGATGTTTCACTGAAGAGTGTCTAAGAGAGCTGTTTCATTGAGTATTGTCTAAAAGAACTGTAACACTACAATCCTTAGAGAAGGCCTACTTGTGGCAGTCACTCCTAGCAGGACAAGACCAGGATCCTGCAGACCCCCACCCATTCTGGACTCTGCTTCATCTTTCCAACCCAGCATGCGTTGGTGCTTGGACACCCCGAGTGAGGATATAGAAGGCACCACAGCTGCTTGCCAACACACATCTCATAGCTGGCTGGTCCTCCCCACTCCCACTTTGACCTCTGCTTTATCTCATTCTCCACACGTCTCATGCTGTCCCCTTCACTCTTTCGGATGGTGGTCGTGGCAGCTCTCAGACCATGGACTCTTTCCAGCCATCACTGTCTTGTGAGAAAGCTATTTTACTTCACAGATGCTGAATCTGTTAGAGTGGATCTACAGCATCCTTCCCGCCGTTGACCTCTGTTCTGCAGAGGTTGGCTGGAACCTCGGTTTGGGAACCCCTATCCCCTTCACTATAACTTTGCTAACACACCTAATGTCCTGTGCTTTGGGGGACATGGCCACAGTAAGTCTGTGGTTAAAGTGACTCTCCCATGGGGTTTGGGGAAATCTCAGGCAATAGAAAAGAAGAAGAGGGTTCCATTGTTCCAATCAGATCCCTCCCACACCACACCATCCTGAGACAAGGGCCTTCTCCTGGTCCTGTTGGTCAAGCACTCAGACCTGACTTGGTTTTCATATTCCATAGCTTGTTGTCATTGTTGGCAGTCTTCTGGCCACTTCCTGTGCATGGTAGCCACACAAAGATGGAGTTGAGACCCCCGAGAACAATGCACTAGGCAATGGTTTGAGGTCTAAAAGCTAGCCATTGGTTCGAGGTCACACAGCCCCTTCATTCTCAGCTCTTGTAGGCTTGTCACTGGTTGGGGTGGGGTTAGGCTGAGGAAGAAAATATCTTGGGCCAATTCAGAATGTACTACAGGCTTTTGGGGATGTAGCAGTTATGAATCTAGACTGCCAAGAGGGCCATGCTGGGGTACACACACCCAGCATTAGGTGTAAGCTGGTGGGGGACAGACAGCAGGCATAGGGAAAGTGAGAGAGACTAGGGGACACTGCAAGTGGAGTTGTCAAGGGAATGAGGCTGAGGGTGGCAGAGACTGTACCAAGGAAGGCAGGCTTGGGGTGACTGGAGGCAGAAGGAGTCTGTGGAGGATTCTTGGGAGCCTAGTTGCTGGTCTTCCCAGAGCTGAGTATTTGGGAAAAGAAACAACAGGTGGCAGCTTCTGGATAGTGGCTGGGGATGGTCCAGTTTCCCATCCTAGCAGAGGGTAGGGCTATGAATTCCAGGTCAGCCTGCCCTGACTCACAGCTGCTTTGAGGTTATTTATTTCCTTGCCAATGTCCTCTAGGCTTCTTGTGCTATGGCCCTGTGGGGACCATCTGGTCCCTCAGCAGTGGGGTTGGTCGTCACCTGGTAGGGTCAAGACCATTAATGGGGTTTCTAGGGATGCACTCCTCTGCCCACCAGGAATGCTTATGCTCAGTTCTTCCCTTAAGGGACCTCCTGATTCTCTCCCCTGACAGGTTCCCAGGATTCTCTGTCTTTAAAGCTTGATTGGAGGGTACTAAACAGGCCAAACAACAGCTCATTCTCCCTGTTTGCAATCTTCATGCTCCTAAGGCTTTCTTACCCTTCCTCCGGATGTACACCACAAGCAAGGGGAGCCTCTCACATACTCAAGCTATGTGGTTTGCCATGTGTCCTTATGGCTCACAAGGCTCTCTGTCATTGCAGCTCCTCTGAAGATGGTGCAGGAGCCCAGGGTGCTTGTCTCCTGCAGAGGAGCACAGCTCCTGCCTAGAACAATTTGAGGTGGATAAGGCTATATTGAACCCCTGCGTCCGCAAGGCCTCTATGCCTGTCTCTGTGGAGAGAATCTCTTGTACTGTGTGGAAGCATCACCTGTCTATAAAAATGCTGGTAGCCTATTAGCTTAGGCAGGAGATAGGGAAGTGGAAGTTCCAATACAGAGAAACTCTGGGATAGTGTCAAGCGCGGGAGGAGTCACCCTGGGGACTTTACAGAGGGCAGATGTATAGAACCTGAGCAGAGGTAGCCAGCCATGTGGTTTACAAAGAATAGGACAGATAAGTTATTAAATTAATGAGATAATTGAAAAACAGGCTCAAGCTTTGGCCTAGGCATTTATAAATATATTTAAGTCTCAGAGTTGCTATTCAGGGAGCTTGAGGCCAAGAGGGAAAGAAAACACAAGCTAACAGAAAACACCCTACAGCATGCTTCTGAATGGCTAGTGGGGAGTCCCGTTCCCTGATCATAAACGGAGAGCTCCCTCTCCCCTCTCCTCTCTCTGCTTCTGAACATCAGTTCAGTGCAAGAGGGCTTCAGGGCTCCACTCCAGCTACACAGGGAGTCCATCATGAAGAGGCCAGGTCAGATAACAGGGACTGAAGCCCCAGGAGAACTGGGGCTTAAGTCCCTTAGCAAGATCCACAGGTTCAGGACATCCCACCTCAGTCTGGGTCTCAGTTGCAGTCCCTTTTGGCTCTAACCTAGTTCCTTCCTCCCAAGGAACTGAATTTGCCTTTAACATTCCTAAAGAAGCCAAAGCTAAGTTCCAAACAGAAGGACCACTTTAATGACATTATTAAAGACATCATCTGGGTGGTTAGAAATGTGTACAAAACAGGATGTAACTGGGCCTTCGTCATACTCTTCCTCTCACACCTGTGTCCATACATGCACACATGCTAACCACATCCTAACTATTTGACAACATTTATCAGAAGCCTAAGAATAGAGCAAGAGTCATGAAGAGGCCATGGTGCCCAGGATGAAGACATCAGTAGACAGCTGTCCCAAAGGCCTGTAGTGGACAAAGGGTACCTGTCATTGAACGTCCAAGCATTTTTCCAGGATACTATGCTCCAGACTGTCAGTGGAAGTTGGGAAGAGTGTGGGGAAGTTTCGCTCATGCCAGAGCATACAGTCCATTCTCAATGGAGATAAAGCTGCTGTGTATAGAGGCCAAGTGGGGAAGCTGAGGAGACAGGCATGGGGGTTGGTGTGGGTCACTAGTGGGGAGTGATATGCACTGAAGTCTGTGTTGGTCAGAATGGTCTACAGCCTCATACAGAGCTGCTGAACAGGATGGTGGAGGTGGGGGTGGGGAAGGGATTGGGGTGGTGGATCCACCCCAGTGGCCAGGGATGGTCTTGGTGGGCTGTAGGGGATGAAGGAGAGTCAGATGAGGCCCCAAGTCCCTGTCTAGCTGTGGACCCCTGGTGTCCTGCTCCAGACACCAGCCTTCAAGTTGAGTCTCCATCCGTGTCTGGGTGCTGGTGAGGGATGATTGAAATGTACTGGAACACCTATGAGACAGAAGAGGCAGAGTTAGTGGCAGAAGGCACCTAACCATCCCCTAACCATGATGTGGGGATATTACTGGATCCATTCTCACCAATGCCTCTGCTGCCGCCGGAGACATAGTATAAAGATGAAACCAAATAAGAAAAACCCTGAGGTTCCCAAGATCCCTGCCAGGTCTGACTGAAGAATGGGGGCAGAGAGACCTAGACACAGACAAAAGTGTCAGATGGGCAGCAGTGTTAAGGTTCTCCCTGTCTCCCTCCTCTCCCCAGACACACCTGGATCTGAGATACGCAGGTCTCTACAGGCAACTCTGGAACCATGAGGGAAGGTAACAAACTCGCAGCAGAATGTGGTGTTGGCCAGGGAGCTTCTTGCTTTGGCTTGTTCCAGGGTCAGAGTGACAGAGATGCTGTTTGGGGTTTCCCAGTGGGCCTTGCTGGCAGGAGCCCACTGCTGGATGCCAAATTCTGGATGTAACACAGCTAGTTTGGTCCCTCCAGCATCAACAAATCCTTTCCAGCTCACTGTTACCAGGGAGATGAGGTTATATCCTAAGACCCCACAGCGAACTGAAAAGGATGAGAGGTTGGTGGTCCCCATCTGGACTTGCACCCACACCTCAGGGTTCACTGAGGAATGAAGACAAGAAGGTCAGTGGCTGTGTGACCACACTGTCCACCCCCATGACTCTGCACTTCTCTGGCCTCTCCACTCACCTGCAGAGACACAGAGGGTCAGCAGTGTTGAGAGTAAGACCAGGGTCTGCATCTGGGCCATATTTGTTGCAGAGACAGCCTGTGTATTCCTGTTCTCATGGCTGAAGGTTTTCATGTTGTCATCAGTTAAGAGGCACTGTGGTGTCTTCCCACAACCTAGCCTTATTTCCTTTTTGCAGGCCTCAGTGGTAGTGAACTTGGGGTAATGGGTTCTCCCTCTTAAAGTTACAGTACCAGGCTTTGCTTGCTTCTTCTTTAGGGGTTATGGGATTGTTTAGGTGGTTTATCTGATCTTGATTTAACTTTGGTACCTGGTATCTGTCTAGAAAACTGTCCATTTCCTCCAGATTTTCTAGTTTTGTTGAGTATAGGCTTTTGTAGTAGGATCTGATGATTTTTTGAATTCCCTCAGTTTCTGTTATTATGTCTCCCTTTTCAGTTTTGATTTTATTATTTGGATACTGTCTCAGTGCCCTCTGATTAGTCTATCTAAGGGTTTATCTATCTTTTTGATTTTTTCAAAGAATTCACTCCTGGTTTTGTTGATACTTTGTATAGTTCTTTTTGTTTCTACTTGGCTGATTTCAGCCCTGAGTTGGACTATCTCCTGCTGTCTACCTCTCTTGGGTGTATTCCCTTCTTTTTGTTCTAGAGCTTTCAGGTATGCTGTCAAGCTGCTAATGTATGCTCTCTCCAGTTTCTTTTTGTAAGCATTTAGAGCTATGAGTTTTCCTCTTAGCACTGCTTTCATTGTGCCCCATAAGTTTTGGTATGATGTGTCTTCAATTTCATTAAATTCTAAAAAGTCTTTATTTCTTCCCTGAACAAGTTATCATTGAGTAGAGAATTGTTCAGCTTCCACGTGTATGTGGGCTTTCTGTTGTTTTTGTTGTTATTGAAGACCAGCCTTAGCCTGTGGTGATCTGATAAGATGCATGGGATTATTTCAGTCTTCTTGTATCTGTCAAGGCCTGTCTTGTGGCTAATTATATGGTCAATTTTGGAGAAGATATCATGATATAAAATACCTTGGTGTGAGGGCCGTGCAGTGGTGGTGCATGCCTTTAATCCCAGCACTTAGGAGGCAGAGGCAGGTGGATTTCTGAATTTGAGACCAGCCTGGTCTACAGAGTGAGTTCCAGGACAGCCTGGGCTATAAAGAGAAACCCTGTCTCGAAAGAAAACAAACAAACAAACAAAAAACACCTTGGTGTGAATTTAACCAAGCAAGTGAAAGATCTGTATGACAAGATCTTCAAGTCTCTGAAGAAAGAAATCGAAGATCTCAGAAGATGGAAAGATTTCCCATGCTCATGGATTGACAGGATTAATATAGTAAAAATGGCCATCTTGCTGAAAGCAATCTACAGGTTGAATGCAATCCCCAACAAAATCCCAACTCAATTCTTCACAGAGTTAGAAAGAGCAATTCTCAAATTCATCTGGAATAGCAAAAAACCCAGGAGGGTGAAAACTGTTCTTAACAATAAAAGAACATCTGGGGGAATCACCATCCCTGACCTCAAGTTGTACAGAGCAATAGTGATAAAAACTGCATGGTATTGGTACAGAGACAGGCAAGAAGATCAATGAAATAGAATTGAAGACCCAGAAATGAACCCACACTCCTATGGTCACTTGATCTTTTTTCCAGTGGAGAAAAGACAGTATTTTCAACAAATGGTACTGGTTCAACTGGAGGTCAACATGTAGAAGAACGCAAACCGATCCATTCTTATCTCCTTGTACAAAGCTCAAATCCAAGTGGATAAAGGGCCTTCACATAAAATCAGATACACTGAAACTAATAGAAGAGAAAGTGGGGAAGAGCCTTGATCACATGGGCACAGGGGAAAAGTTCCTGAACAGAATACCATTGGCTCTAAGATCAAGAATTGACAAATGAGACCTCATAAAATTGCAAAGCTTCTATAAGGCAAAGGACACTGTCATTAGGACAAAACAGCAACCAACAGATTGGGAAAAGATCTTTACCAATCCTACATCTGATAAAGGGCTAATATGCAGTATATACAAAGAACTCAAGATATTAGACACCAGACAATTAAATAACCCTATTTAAAAAAATGGGGTACAGAGCTCAATAAAGAATTCTCAATTGAAGAAACTCAAATGGCCAAGAAGCACCTAAAAAAATGTTCAACACCCTTAGTCATAAGGGAAATGCAAATCAAAACAACCCTGAGATTTCACTTCACACCAGTCAGAATGGTTAAGATAAAAAAACTCAGGTGATAGCAGATGTATGATTCTGGCGAGGTTGGACAGACAACACAAGGTCGACCCGGTTCCACGGGAAGGGGTTTATTTAGGGAGGGGAGCGGGAGAGATGGCAGAGGGAGCGAAAAGAAGAGGAAGAGAGAGAGGTTGGGGCGGTCTCAACTATTTAAGTGGGTGATGACGTGTAACTTCCCAGGTGTAGGTGAGCGAGGCAGGTGAATTCTGGGAGTGGTTGTCTCAGCAACGTAGGAGTCGCCGGCCCCTGAATATGACGTCACTGGATTCAGACTTATACTAACATACCCCAGTTTTTCTTATTATAAAAAAAAAAAAAAAAAAAAAAAGGAGAGGGGAAGCCGATGGTGAAAGAGGAATCGCGGCGCCGTGTCTCTTAAACTACTTCCTGCTGTGTAGGGGTGTAGTCCGTTGGGGGGAGGAGCTGGCTGTTTTCTGCTGTCCAGGGTCTGTGGCGCCATCTGAGGATAGGCCAGAAGAAACAGGTCCAGTAGAAGCAGCTCTGTGTGTGACAGGAGATGGAGCATCTGGAGGTTGCTTTTCTGGAGCTGTTCTGGATGTGCCTGGACTTGACAAGATGTAGGGAATAAGATTACTATCACTTGGAGAAAGAAATTTTTTTGTTTTTAAAGATGTACACTTGAAACACAGAGGGATCCCACCCTTTGTAATAGGTAGTGAGTGGGACCTTAAGCAGATGTACTTATCTGGATGGCACCTATTTGGTCCATGAGAGGTAGATCTGAGTGGATTTCCTGTAGCTTATAAGTTGTTAAAACAGATAACAGCATGAGTTAACAACATAAGCTATCTTTAAGATGAACCTTTGCTGGATTGTATAGTGGAATGTTTCATTAGAGTTAAGCAAGTTACTAGGAACTCAGATAATTTAGGACAGTGGGATAACGAGAAGAGGAAATATGAAGCATTTAATTGATGGCAACAGAGTTTACGTAATGAGGTAACAGATAATATCTGTGAAAGCTTAGCTGTCAATGTAGTCAGAAGTCTGAGAAAGAGTAAACAACAACCTACCAGTTATATATTATAAAAAATGACAGAGTCCACTTGCCAACAGTTCCCGTGGTTTCCATAGTCTCTTGGGTGAAGTCAGTTTGGCTTCCAAGCACAGAAGACGCAGGACTTTTTTCTGTGGAATGGATACGTGTGACATGGGAAATGACTTACCTTGATTTAGCCAACTCATTTGACTCAGGGCATCCCTTGCATTTGTTCACATACAATCCAGGCTGTATGTTCTAGGAGTCCGGCGTCCAGGTCTTCTGAAACCATCTTGGGTTAACTGTTAGATACTTTGGGAATGCTGTCAGCCATAAACTTAAAATATACTGTTAGCAGACTTCTGACAAGATTGAGAGCCGTAAGGATTGGTTGTAATTGAATAAAAGTCTATCGAAGCAGGTTAGGAAAGAGTCTTAAGTAACTTTGGCAGGTTGTATAGGAAGAGAAATGCACATTTTTGTATTAGCACAGAAACATTTTGGCTAAGAAATCTGGATCTTAAGGCTGGCAGGTTAGAGCTGTGAGCCACAGGTGCCACGGGCAGGGCAGGTCTGTGGGCGGCAGTGACAGGGCGGGACTTTCTGCTAGCATCCGGAAGTCGCTGCCCAGTGACTCTGGCGGCTGCGGTTACAACTCGCAGACCACATAAAGCTCAAGAAGAAAGAAGTCCAAAGTGTGGGTGCCTCAGTCCTTCTTAGAAGGAGTAACAAAATACTCATGGAAGCAAGTAAGGAGACAAAGTGTGGAGCAGAGACTGGAGGAGGGGCCATCTGGAGACTGCCCTACAGCCCTTGTGCAGTCACCATACATAGGCACAGTTATGGATGCCAGAAAGTGCATGCTGACCAGAGCCAGATATAGCTCTCTCCTGAGAGGCTCTGCCAGAATCTGACATATACAGAGGTGGATTCTCACAGCTAACCATTGATCATGGGGTCCCAAATGGAGGAGGCAGAGAGAAAACTAAAAGGGCTGAAGGGGCTTGTGGCCCCATTGGAAGAGCGACAATACCAACCAACCAGAGCTCCTAGGGTCTAAACCTGGTGGTTTAGCCTGGGAACATGCTCGGAGGGACCCATGGCTCCAGCTGTATAGGTAGGGGAGGATGGCCTTGTCACGCATTGGTAGGAGAGAAGGTCCTTAGTCCCATGAAGGCTGGATGCCCCCGTGTGGGAGAATTCGAGGGGGGGGTGGGGGGTGTGGGGGGGGACACATCCTCATAGAAGTAGCAGGAGGGAGGACAGGATAAGGGGTTTCTGAGGGAGGGAATGGGAAAGGGAATAACATCTGAAATGTAAATAAATATCCAATGGGAAAAAATAAAATTAAATTCCAATTTAAAAAAAAAAAAGATTTCACGAACCTACTTCCATGTGGAACATAGAATTTGGGGCAACTTCAACCTGTGTCCCCAGGCCATAACTTTGGCTCCAGAATAAATTCTCTCTCATCCTTGAAGTAAGAGTTGTGTTTCTTGTTTTCTATTAACAATCCTTGGGGCACAAGGGGCTGCTAACTTTAATCACCTGGGTATGGAAGACTCCATCTCCCACCTCCTTAGATCCTGCCTGTTTTGCAAGAGCTACCACCTCCCTTGCATTAGGATAGCACTTCCTACATGAATGGCTGTCACAGCAGGCAAGGTGTGTCACCAGCAATCAGATTCTCTCCTGCAGTGGCAGACAGGCTAACTTCAAGTCCTGAAAGGACAGTCCTCTCTGCTTTGGTTGACACCGTTTAGCAACATGTAGAAGAAACTGAGAACCCAGCTGAGAAGTCTACCGAGGAGGCTTAATGTGTAAAAGAAGCTTGAGGCATGAGGA